TTCTGCCGAGCATCCATATCTGTGAGGCTTCCCTGCCAAACGTTCATCCTTCCCAGCATTTCTGGAACACCAGCGCGGCTTCTCCCCTGGGTTCCCAGAGGAGCAGCTGCCTCTTCCACGGGATCTCCAGAGGGAGACTGCACCCTGCTGCGGGATCCTGCTCCAGCAAACCGCCCCTGGCACTCCGGGATAACTGCAGCCACAATTCCAGCAGGACTGCTCCCAACACCCTGACCCAGAGGCTGTCAGCTCGTGTTCTGACTCTGTCAGTGCTGTTTTAATTTATTACATTGTTTATTTTTTTATTTTCTTCCCTAATAAAGAATTGTTATTCCTGCTCCCATATATTTGCCTGAGAGTCCCCCCTTAATTTCAAATTTATAACAGTTTGGAGAGCGGGGATTTCCATTTTCCCTTCCAGGGGAGGCTCCTGCCCTCCTCAGCAGACATCTGTCTCTCCAAACCAAGCCAACTCAGCTTAATTAACGCCAGAAATGAAAGCTGCGTCTTTGTAACAAAGTTACTTTAACGTCACACATGTAAAATGTATTTTATTGTCGGCATAAAGCCAATTCTCCAATGTGTGTTTATACCATAACCTCTGCCCTGTGCTCCTGCTCCCGTTAATCTTCATTAAAGTCCTTTATTCAGCTTTTAATAAGGGAGTTTTTCATTAGAGCACGGGGGAACTGGGAGCACTGGGAGTGAACTGGGAGCACTGGGGGTGAACTGAGGGCGCTGGGAGTAAACTGGGAGCACGGGGAGTGAACTGGGAGCACTGGGAGTGAACTGGGAGCACTGGGAGTGAACTGGGAGCACTGGGAGTGAACTGGGAGCACTGGGAGTGAACTGGGAGCACTGGGAGTGAACTGGGAGCACTGGGAGTGAACTGAGGGCGCTGGGAGTGAACTGGGAGCACTGGGAGTGAACTGGGAGCACTGGGAGTGAACTGGGAGCACTGGGAGTGAACTGGGAGCACTGGGGGGAACCAGGGAGTCCTACTGGGAGCTCTGAAGAGAACTGGGAGCACTGGGAGTGAACTGAGGGCGCTGGGAGTGAACTGGGAGCACTGGGAGTGAACTGAGGGCACTGGGAGTGAACTGGGAGCACTCAGGGAGTCCTACTGGGAGCACTGGGAATGAACTGGGAGCACTCAGGGGGTGAACTGGGAGCACTGGGAGGGAACTGAGGGCCCTGGGAATGAACTGGGAGCACTTAGGGGGTGAACTGGGAGCACTCAGGGGGTGAACTGGGAGCACTCAGGGGATGAACTGGGAGTGAACTGGGAGCACTGGATGGCACTGGGAGCACTGGGAGGGAACTGGGAGCACTGAGGTCAGGCTGGGAGTGACGCAGGGATGGCACTGGGAGCACTGGTCGGAACTGGGATTGGGGGTGCGCTGGGAAAGGGAGACCCCGGGAATTGAGGGACCCCGGGAATGAGGGACCCCGGGAATGAGGGACCCGGGAATGAGGGACCCCGGGAATGGGATGGACGGGACCCCGGGAATGGGATGGACGGGACCCAGGTGATCCAGGGCCGATCCCGGGGGTCCCGGGGCAATTCCCAGGGATTCCCCGCCCCCGCCGCGTCCCTCGGGCACTTTCGCGCCTCCCAAACGGCGCCTCTGGGATCTGCCCAGCGACTGGTGACGTCACGGACACCGCCGGCTGCCATTGGCTGCTGCGCGGCGGCGGCGCCAATGGCGAGCAGGGGCGGGGCCGGGGCGGAGCCGCGCGGTGGCTCCAGCGCTGGGTCTGGGGGCGCTCCGGGGACAGCGAGGGGACAGAGGGACCCCGGCACCGGCACCCCCCAACTCCCGGGCACGGGGACCCTCCCGAGCCTCTGCTCCTGGGCACGGAGACCCCCTGCTCTCCCTTCTCCGCCACCGGGACCCCCCTTACCCCGAACCGGGACCCCCGACCCGCCCGTTCCCGGGCACGGGCGCCCTCGGCAGCCGCTGTTTGCTGGCACTGCGAGCCTCCTGCACAGCCCGGACCCCCCTTCTCTCCTCTCGGGGCACCCCTGGAACCTCCAGCCTTCCATTATGGACCCCTTGAACCTCCCGCTCGCCCCCCACGGGACCCCCGGCAGCCCCCAGTGCGCTCCGCTCGCCGAACCCCAAACCCGGGGGCTGCTCCGGCTGCTGCCAGCCTGGAGGGCACCCTGAGCCCCCCGGGGCACAGCGATGGGGGATGGAGCCAAGCCGCACCTCGAGATTGGCAGATTGCGTTCTTAGCACAGAGCAGGAGCCGGGGGGTCCCCAAAGGCCGGGGGTCCCCGAGGCCGGGGGTCCCCAAAGGCGGGGGTCCCCGAGGCCGGGGGTCCCCGAGGCCGGGGTCCCCGAGGCCGGGGGTCCCCAAGGCCGGGGGGATTCCACAAAAGGCCGGGGGTCCCCGAGGCCGGGGGTCCCCGAGGCCGGGGGTCCCCAAAGGCCGGGGGTCCCCGAGGGACCCCGGGAACTGAGGGACCCCGGGAATGAGGGACCCCGGGAATGAGGGACTCTGGGAATGAGGGACCCGGGAATTGAGGGACCCTGGGAATGAGGGACTCTGGGAATGAGGGACCCGGGAAATGAGGGACCCCGGGAATGGGACGGACGGGACCCAGGTGATCCAGGGCCGATCCCGGGGGTCCCGGGGCAATTCCCAGGGATTCCCCGCCCCCGCCGCGTCCCTCGGGCACTTTCGCGCCTCCCAAACGGCGCCTCTGGGATCTGCCCAGCGACTGGTGACGTCACGGACACCGCCGGCTGCCATTGGCTGCTGCGCGGCGGCGGCGCCAATGGCGAGCAGGGGCGGGGCCGGGGCGGAGCCGCGCGGTGGCTCCAGCGCTGGGTCTGGGGGCGCTCCGGGGACAGCGAGGGGACAGAGGGACCCCGGCACCGGCACCCCCCAACTCCCGGGCACGGGGACCCTCCCGAGCCTCTGCTCCTGGGCACGGAGACCCCCTGCTCTCCCTTCTCCGCCACCGGGACCCCCCTTACCCCGAACCGGGACCCCCGACCCGCCCGTTCCCGGGCACGGGCGCCCTCGGCAGCCGCTGTTTGCTGGCACTGCGAGCCTCCTGCACAGCCCGGACCCCCCTTCTCTTCTCTCGGGGCACCCCTGGAACCTCCAGCCTTCCATTATGGACCCCTTGAACCTCCCGCTCGCCCCCCACGGGACCCCCGGCAGCCCCCAGTGCGCTCCGCTCGCCGAACCCCAAACCCGGGGGCTGCTCCGGCTGCTGCCAGCCTGGAGGGCACCCTGAGCCCCCCGGGGCACAGCGATGGGGGATGGAGCCAAGCCGCACCTCGAGATTGGCAGATTGCGTTCTTAGCACAGAGCAGGAGCCGGGGGGTCCCCAAAGGCCGGGGGTCCCCGAGGCCGGGGGTCCCCGAGGCCGGGGGTCCCCGAGGCCGGGGGTCCCCGAGGCCGGGGGTCCCCGAGGCCGGGGGTCCCCGAGGCCGGGGGTCCCCGAGGCCGGGGGTCCCCGAGGCCGGGGGTCCCCGAGGCCGGGGGTCCCCGAGGCCGGGGGTCCCCGAGGCCGGGGGTCCCCAGGCCGGGGGTCCCCAAAGGCCGGGGGTCCCCGAGGCCGGGGGTCCCCAAGGCCGGGGGTCCCCGAGGCCGGGGGTCCCCAAGGCCGGGGGTCCCCAAAGGCCGGGGGTCCCCGAGGCCGGGGGTCCCAAAGGCCGGGGGTCCCCGAGGCCGGGGGTCCCAAAGGCCGGGGGTCCCAAAGGCCGGGGGTCCCCAAGGCCGGGGGTCCCCAAAGGCCGGGGGGGTTCCACAAAAGGCCGGGGGTCCCCAAGGCCGGGGGTCCCCAAGGCCGGGGGTCCCCGAGGCCGGGGGTCCCCGAGGCCGGGGGTCCCCGAGGCCGGGGGTCCCCGAGGCCGAGCTTTGCCCGATCGGGAGGTTTCAAGGAGCGAAGGCGCCGGCGCTCCTTGGCTCCGGGCGGCAGAACTTGTGATCAATGAACGCCGCGGGTCCCGCTGCTGCCGCCCCTCCCCGCGAACCGCCCGGGGCAGCTCTTCCCTCCCGGGCCGCGCTGCGGGGCCGGGGCCGGGCCGGGAGCGCTGCCTCGGGGCCGGCGGAGCCCGCGCCGCCATCTCCCGCTGCCGCCGCCTCCTCGCGCTCAGGAACGGCCCGGCCCGAGCGCTCGGAGCCGCCAGCATCGCCCGCCAGGGACGGGGACAGGGACGGGGACGGTGTCGGTGACAGCGACAGCGCAGACCCAACCCACCCCCCCCACACAGCCCGGCTGGCCCAGAGGGGTCCCCAAAACCCCCCGGTGCTCCCAGTGCCCCCCCAGTGCTCCCAGTATCCCCCCCCCGTGCTCC